CGCGTGTGGATTCCAGAGAAAACCATGGAAAACAAATCTTCATGGACAACGGAGCGCCGCTGGAATCTACGAGTCCCCCCGAGTCCGCCCGCATCACCCTAACTCCCATTTGCGTCCAGGGGGCTCCAGCTAAACTGGCCGTCCGGGAACCAAGTGGACCGATTCAATCGACCATTCTGCGGTGCACGCTGAGATGCGCACGTGCGTTGTAACGCCAAGCCGCACGACAGGGGGTAAGAAGGAAGAAAAGGAGGACGAGGAGGAGGAAGAGGAAGAGGAGGAGGTGGTGGAAGAGGAGGGAGGAGGGAAAAGCGTCGCATTCGATTATCAGAACTTTCCTGGCGTGTCTTTTAGTTGTCCGCATCAGATCCTGACGTACATGCTCCTTCTACCTTTCCTATGCACGCAGGCACTGTGGTGTATGCTGTGGTGTAGACAGGCGCTGTGGCGTGCACAGGCGCTGCGGTGCACGCAAGCACTGTGGTGTACACAGGCGTTGTGTTGCACATGGCTGCTGCGGTGTATGTACACCGGCGCTGTAGTGCTCCCAAGTATTGTGGTGTACACGGGCGGTGCGTTGCACACGGCTGTTGCGGTGTACGCAGGCGCTGTGGTGCACACGCGCGGTGTGGTGCACGCGAGCGTTGTGGTGTACACAGGCGCAATGGGCAGATCGCCACTTACATGCTGCTCGCGTCGTCGTCGTCGCTCGTCGCTCGTCGCTCGTCGCGTCGCGCGCGCGGGCGCGGCTGTGGTGCCGGAGCCACACGGCAGGGAGGGGGGCGTCACGTCATACCCCCCCCCGCCCTCCCTCCCCCCCCATGACGCCTGTCATCGCCGAACAGAAAGAGCCCCCTCTCCTGGAGCTCGTCTAGCAACTTTGGTTGAGCAGTGCGCGGGCCCTCGTTTCGACCCCCAAACGGGCAAGAGCAAGCGCAATCAGGCGAGCTGGAACCGATTTTGCAGGGGACCCCATCCCATCGAGAACGTAGTTACTCTGCTGCCTGACACGTTTCGCGTGTCTTCCGCTGATTTGGCGAAGATGGCCTCGCCCCAAGACCAGGTCCAAGACTTGGTCGCATCACTGCTGCTCGTCTCACCTCCCGCCTCCTTCGCGAGCGATCGCACGCCGAGTCTCTTGCTGATCTCGGCTGCCGCGACTTCCCTGGCCGTCTGGGACTCCTACTTCTCCGCCTTTTCAACGCCTCCCGACACTGATCATTTGCTACATGGTTTGATCATGCCGCACGTTTGCGTTCATCCATGCTCCGTCCGCACGTCGGAGTTCCTCTTCAGGCGCGGCCGACGTGATGACCATGCTACCTGGCTTGTCAGCTTGTTCAAGCTGCTGTAACAATGACTGTTTCAGCGTCAGGCCGCTCGTGCTGGCGATCATCCTGGTCAGACTGGCCTTGGCTTCTCATGCGGTGGTGGCTGCTTTGCTTTGACCTCGGGTACCCTGTCCTTTGCCTTTGCTCTCCGCTGGGGACAGCGCGAGCTGATTGCTGGGACCGTCGTCGAAGCCGACGCCTTGATGTGCATCGGGTTTGAAGAGCTTGACTGGACGATGGAGCTGGCGCCCTTTCTGCACCTCTACTCGATCACCTCGATCCACTCATAGGTCGCACATCCTGAGCGTTGGTTCCAAGCTCGCGCAACAGCCGCCATGCCCTGCTCTCGCCGCACAGGCCGACTGATGCCAAGAGCAGGAAGCCACGCGCCCCTCGAGCACCCCGTGGAGGCGCAGGGCCTGGACCCAGGAGAGATGCACAATGCATTGCCCTGCCCTAGAATTGCGTCTTGAGCAGGATGGGAGATGGGGAAGGATGAGGAGGAGGAGGAGGAGGAGGAGGAGGAGGAGGAGGGGAGGAGGAGGAGGAGGAGGAGGGAGGAGAAGGGATGGATGGATGGAGGATGGAGGGAGGGAGGAGGAGGAGGGGAGAGGAGGAGGAGGAGGAGGAGGAGGAGGAGGAGGGCGAGGAGGCGGCGGAGGAGGAGGTGGAGGAGGAGGAGGATCAGGAGAGACAGAACAAGGGCAGGAGGATGAGGAGAAGGAACAAGAGGAGGAGCATGAGGGAGAGCAAGAGCTGGAACAAGAGGAGGACGATGGAGAAGCGGATGACCCTCCGCCGCTGCTCTCCCCCCCCCCGCCGCAGCTGCGCTGCCCGTCGCCGCCGGCCGCTGCCGCCGCCGCCACCACCGCCGCCGCCGCCGACGTCGGCGGCGGCGGCGGCGGCGACGACGACGACGACGTCGACGACGACGACGTCGACGACGACGACGACGACGAGGCCGCCGATGCGGGCACAAGACCCGGTCAAGCGCGGGCGAGCGCCGCGCGCTGCGCGCCGCGGGGGCGCGCCGCGGCCCCGCGTCTGGAGGCCCCTCCGCGGGCCTCGGAGGAGCGGAGGAGGGGAGGTGACGGCGGGATGGTGGTGGTGACGGCGATGGTGGTGGAGGGGTGCGCAATGGCGGCGATGGTTGTGGCGATGGTGATGGGGATGGTATTCACGATAACGAGCCGAGGCTGCGCGGGGCAAGCACTTGAAATTGATGATGGTGGTAATGTTGATGGTGGTGGGGATTGTGGTAGCATTGTTGTTGTTGTTGTTGTTGTTGTTGTTGTTGTTGTTGTTGTGGTTGTTGTTGTTATTATTGTCGTTGTCGTTGTCGTTGTTGTTCTTGTTGGTGTTGTCGTTGGCGTCGCTGTTGTTGTTGTTGTTGCTGTTGTTGTTTGTGTTGCTGCTGGTGCTGCTGCTGCTGTTGGTGCTGTTGGTGCTGTTGTTGTTGGTGTTGGGGTTGTTGTTGGTGGTGGTGATGATGATGAGGAGGATGGTGGTGATGGTGATGGTGATGGTGATGGTGGTACTGGTGGGGGTGATGCTGATGATGGTGATGATGCTAATTATGGTGACGAAACATGATGTTTTTGATGATGATGTTAATGATGGTCGTGGTGATGATGATGGTGATGGTGGTGATGATGGTGATGGGGAACCTGAGTACGACGGTGACAGTGATGATGGTGTTGGTTCTGACGGTATTGGTGATGATGGTGATGCCGATCAATATGATACGGATGATGCTGATGATGACGATGCTGATGATGATTGCGAGGACGGCATTGCTGGTTGTGATGATGATTGAGATGATGCTGCTAATGCCGATGACGACGGAAGCGACGATGATTACGATGATGATGACGATGTTGATGCTGATGCGGATTTCGACGATCATGCTGCCGATGATGATGCGGATGATGGTGGTGATGGTGATGATGATTGTAATGATGAGGATGATGATGCTGCTGATGAGGATGGTGATCTCGATGGTGATCTCGATGGTGATGGTGATGGTGATGGTTGTGATGCTGATTATGGTGTTGGTAGCGATTATGGCGATAATGATGACGATGACGATGACGATGGTGATGGTTGTGTTTCTGCGGAGGAGGAGGATGAGAAGGAAGAAGAACACACGTGGATGAAGCGAGGAATGGGAGGGAGAAAAACAGGGGAGGGGCGGGAGGCAGAGCTTGAGGGAGGGCGTTTGCGCGGGAGGAAGAGACGGATGGAGGAGGAGGAGGAGGAGGAGGATCAACAACGTAAACCCAGCTTGCACCGACGCTGCTGCAGTACGTCCTTCCATTCCCCAGCGTCATCCGCACATGTATGTACAGGCACCCCGCTTCATTGCGGGAGGCGTCCCTCGAGAGACGGCTGCCCCGACGCCTTTGCAGTTTATGAGCCTTGTTTTGAGGAGTGCGAGGGGACCTGCCCTCCATCCGTGCAGCCGTTGCACGAAGCGCGTTCCCCAACCAGTGCCAAAGTCTACGTAGGGGTTCGCATTTCCCCGAACAGCGCTTGCACTCAGAGTTTCTTGCTTCTGCAACGAAGGAATTGGATGGGACCGCCGAGGTTTCGCCGCGTCGTCGACTGGCCGCCTCGTGGCCGCCGAAGTAATGGCTCGGCCCGCCAGGGTTTCGACGCGTCGCCGCCCGTGGCTGCCTTGCTGCCGCCCGCTTGGGCCGTCCGGCGAGGCTTCGCCGCTTCGCCGCGTCGCCAGGCCGGCACTGCGTTGCCCAGGGGAGTGTGAGGGCGCTGCGGGTTTCGCCTGGTGGGCGACCCTCGGCGCCTCTCGGGCGCCTCGGCGGCTTCTGCGTCGGAGGAGTGCGGCGGGGTGTCGCCTGCTGGGCGGCCGTGGGCGCCTCGGTGGGCGCCCCCGTGTGCTGGCGGAGTGTGTCGAGGCTTCGCCTGGTTGGTTGCCCTGGGTGCCTCGTGGTCATCCTCGTGCTGCTGGCGCCACGCTGCCTGCATTGCATAGCTTACGCGATGGAGCGTGCACCTCAAAGCTTGCACCGCCTAGCTTGCACCACGTAGCTTTTCCACATAGCCTGCACCACATAGCTTGCAGTGTATAGCGTGCACCGCACATTGCTCGCACCACATGGTGTACACTACTCTGCTTACACCACAAGGACAGTACCACACATGTAGCACCACAGTGCCAGCAGCCCGCGTATCTTGCATTGTATGGGGTGCACCACATGGTTTGTTCGCTCGAAGCTTGGAAGACCATACGCGCGGCGCTAGGGCGAGAGCCACATTGTGAAAAGCATTCGCCCTCCAACTTTGTAAGTGTTGGCAACGTTTGAGGCGCATGTGCGCGGCGCTCAGACGAGAACCGCAGTTTGAAAACAGTGGTCCTCCGTCCTTATAACGTTATGAAGACTTTCAGACGAATGCGCGCTCTAGTCGGGTGAGCGCCACATCTTGAAAACGACCAGCACTCCATTAGCTTCAGGATATACAGTCTCACGGGGGTCTTAAGCGAAACGCCCAGCCCGACCTACGGACACGTCTTGTGGTGCGACAGGGATGAGTTGTGATTAAGGAAGATGGATGCAGGAGGAGGAGGAGGCAGAGGAGGAGGGGAAAGAGTGGGAAGAGGGTCTTTGCTTTTGCCTCTCAGGAGACCCCTCCGCTTACTGCCGTCTGCGCATGTCCTGCTTCAGCGGCTTGGAGGAATGGTGCGATTGCATCCCGTTCTTGTGCCCACCAGTCGACGAGAGTCGGGAGCAGGAGGAGCTCTCTACTCTGATCGGGTTCTTGGCCAAGGTCCCTCTGTTCAAGGATCAGCTCCCGCCTGCGATCCTGCCCGACATAGCGATGAAGCTCAAGCGACGCAGGTGGCAGCCTGGCAAGGAGATTTGCCGACAGGGCAAATCTGCCAATGAGTTTTTCGTCGTCGAGTCTGGCAAGGCCCTCGTCTTCTGCGAGCGCAGCGGACTGAACGGGCCCTGCTCGGAGTTGACCGCTGGGGACTACTTCGGGGTGCGCAACCTGATCGAAGGGGGTCGGGCCTCTTGGCAGATCAGTGTCGTCAGCGCTGGACCAGGCGAGTTCGTCACGCTCTCCATGACGCGGAAAGAGTTTGTGAGACTAGGCCTTCACAAGAAGCTCTCTGCGCCGAGAAGACCCGCTCTCTTCGGGTTCGCTTCTGGCCCATTGGCCCACAGTGACGGTTTAAGCGCACCGGCGCCAGCTACGACAGAGGACAGGATTTTTCTGACGGCCGTGCTTCGGGCCAACGTGAACATCAGACACCTGCTGGACAGTGGCTGTAGGTTGGACTCGCTCGTGGACAGCGCCAAGCGGAAGACGGTGGAACAAGGCGCAGATGTCTTCAGCAGCGACAAGGTGGCGCCAGAGATCATCGTCGTGCTGCAGGGCTCCTTCGACGTCATACACTCGGACAAGGTCGAGTCCAACCAGAAGTCTGCGGAGGCCGCTGCCGTCAGGATTATGACGCTGAACAAGGCCGAGGAGCACCAGCCGTCGATGGTGGAGGCGCGCAGCGCGCCGGCGAACCTCTCGGCGAGGGGCGGCGAAGACGAGGCCGACTCCAACGACGAGTGCGCCGCCTCGTGCCCCGTGCGCATGCAGTCGGCCATGGTCATGAGCACCCCGAGCGCGATCACGAACAAGAAGGAGGTCTACACGAGGCCGCGCCACAACAGCGTGGCCAGGTCCAGCAAGTCCCCGAGGCTCCGCGCGGGCGACTCGGTCGCGTGGTCGGGCGCGCCCGGGAAGCGGCCGCGGCTTCCGGTGCCGGGCGCCAGGAGGAGGAGCATCCGCGACGCCCTCCAGATGGGGCAGCTGCGGCCGGTCGCGGAAGCGTCCAGGGACGAGGAGGACGAGGTTCGGCGATTGCCAAGGGTGTAGTCACGTCGGGGTGCGGCTTGCGATCTTCGGCCAAAAAACAAACGACACCTCCCACCTACGGCCCTCCACGTTGCGCCACGGCCCATCGGGCCCCGCAGCGTAGACCGCGCAGAAGCCCACGCCAGACTTCCTGGTATGCGCTAAGGCCCGTTGGGCCGCAGGTGGGGTGGTGTCGCTTGTTTTCTGGTCCAGATCCGCGCCGCGAGGGCTCGGAGGGCCCCGCGTTGCCCTCGTCGAGCCTCCCCGGGGCGCCGCGGAGGTCTTCGCCCGAGATCCTCGCCCGCGCCCCCCCCCCGGCGCGGCCTGCAAGCCTTAAGTCGGGCATGTCGGCATGTCCCGCCACAGGAGGAGTGCTCAAAAATTGTCAACAACATAGTCCGGGGACGAATGCTCTATTTCTGATGTTTTTTGATTTGTGTTTGATGTTTTTTTGATGTGTGTTCGGCTATGTTTTGTTTTTCGTCCAGAATCCGCCTGTAGGGAAACATGCCCGAACGAATGCAAGCCGCGCATTTTGCAGACCACACCCTTCGGAGTCTGTGAGAGGTGGGCACCGTCGTAGACGTCTCCGACAACCGGGTGGTCGTCTGGTTCAGCAGCGTCGGCCAGCAGATCGTCATGCCGGAGGACGTCGTGAAGAGGGGCGACGGCGAAAGCCGCAATCGGCGGCTGAAGCGCGGGGACTGCTTCGGTGAGGTCTCCGTCGTGTACGGCGCCAAGCTTGGGGCGACCCTGAAGGCGCGCGAGAAGTCCTTGGTGTTGTCGATCCCCAGGAGGTGCATCAAGGTGGCCATCCGAGGCGAGAGCCCAGACGTCGACCAGTTCGAGATGCTGCTGAAGGAGGTGAAGCTGCTGGGGCCCCTGCTGTCCGCCGAGGTGCGAGAGATAGCCCGCAACGCGCACGGCAGGAAGACGTTCGAGCCGAACGCTGTTATCCAAGTGGCTCGTGCCATTCCGCCGACCCCCCAGAAGGAGCGAGTGCTCGCGACGCTCTTGGAAGTCATCTAGTGGGTCGGGAGCTTTTCGGATGCATGTGGGGAGCTCGTAGGATGTCTTTCAGGAGCCCCTGCAAGACGCTCGAGCCGAACGATGTTGCTCACAGCGCTTCTCGCAGACACGCCCAGTTTCAATGTAACCGGGCGTGTCTGCGAGAAGCGAGCTGTAAGAACACAGGTCAAGTAGCAGACCGAGATAGTTCTCTCGAGACTGCTGAGTGAAGCTCTTACAGTGGAGACCCATGCCAGAAAACACCCTTCTTGCCTCCAGAGTGCCCTGGGTTTCTTGGGTGTCCATGGTTCTGCAGTGGGAATCGTGACATTCCCACGCCAAGAATCAATGAGCGTCCTGGGGTCTCAGGGTTGGGTTTCTTGTGGAAGGTTTCTTGTGGTCGGGCCCCCCACGGTATTCACGCCCGCGTTCCAGCTACGGGAGAGCGCTGTAGCTGCTCCGCATCACGACATGTAGTGTAGTACAGGCACCAGCCCGAGCAGGGCAGGCTCTCCGCTTGCTCTTACTGCTGCTGCAGCTGCTGGTGCTCCTCGTGGAGCGCCTGCTTTGACTCGTCTCCCTCCCTCCCTCCATGCTTCCTCCTCCTCACTCCTCACTCCTCACTCCTCCTCCTCCCTCTCCTCCTCCTCCTCCTCCTCCTCCTCCTCCTCCTCCTCCTCGTCCTCCTCCTCGTCCTCCTCCTCCTCCTCCTCCTCCTCCTCCTCCTCCTCTCCTCCGCCTCTTCCTCCTCCTCCTCCTCCCTCCTTCCTTCCCTTCCTTCCTTCCTTCCTCCCTCCCTCCCTCCCTCCTCCCTCCCCTCCACTCCCTCCCTCCCCTTCCTTCCTTCCTTCCTTCTTCCTTCCTTCCTTCCTTCCTTCCTTCCTTCCTTCCTTCCATCCTGCCTTCCTTCCTTCCTTCCTTCCTTCTCTCCTCCTCATCCCCCCTGGGTGTTCTCTTGGGGACCTTGAGGCCGCGCTCGCCGTCTATTAGCCGCCGTGTTGTGCGACTAGATCGGGGGAATATCGGGGCCCTCCTGGGCCGGCTTCTTGGAGTCTCTCGGTATCCTCTCGGGGCCATCTTGAGGCCCCCTCCCGGTCCTCTTGGGCTCCGAGGCCCTTTGGGCATCTTAAGGAGAGTAGTTTGGAAGCCAAACGTCTGGGAGGCGGAATGCTGTGGGCGCCCTTGGGAGAGTTGGGCGGCATCTCGGTGCCCCCCTGGGGTTGTCATGGGCCCGCATCGTCAGGTCAGGCATGTCCCTCTACAGGAGGGATAACGGAAAGAGCGAGGTACGAGTGATGACGTGGAGTTGGGGCGAAGCCCTTGAGGGAGGGGTCCAGCGGAGGGGCGAGGCGGAGGCGCAGGGTTGGTAATGGCCGTGTTCGCGTTTTCCCTCGGGTGTTGTGCATGTTTTTCGGGTTCCCCCCCAGACGGCCCAAGAGCGCTCCAAGAGAGCCCAAGACGCTCCCAGGAGGCCCCAAGAGCCCCCCAAGAGGCGCCCAATGGGCGTTCCAAGAGGGCCCCAAGAGGCCAAAATCATGGATTGTCCTTAGGGAAACGTGCATGTTTAGCATATACGGCTTTTCTGCTTTCACGGCGTTGACGACGGCCCAAGGGGCCCCCCAGACCGCCCCAAGACGGCCCAAGAGGCTCCCAAGAGGCCCCCAAAACGGCCCAAGAGGGCCCCCAGACGGCCCACGAGGCGCCCAAGACGGCCCAAAAGGGCCCCAAGACAGCCCCAAGAGGGGGACCACGAACCGAAAAGTCTAGCCTTTCGCCCCAAGACGCTCCCAGGAGGCCCCACGAGCCCCCCAAGAAGCCCCAAGAGGCCCCCAAGAGGCGTCCCAAGAGGCCACCAGGAGACCCAAATCATTGATTTCCAATGGGAAAAGGGACATTTTTAGCATACATGGCTTTTCGGCTGTCACGGTGTGAAGACAGTCCAAGAGGCCCCACAGACCGCCCCAAGACGGCCCACGAGGCTCCCAAGAGGCCCCCAAAACGGCCCAAGAGGGCGCCAAGACGGCCCACGAGGCGCCCAAGACGGCCCAAGAGGGCCCCAAGACAGCCCCAAGATGGGGACCACGAACCGAAAAGTCTAGCCTTTCGCCCCAAGAAGCTGCCAGGAGGCCCCACGAGCCCCCCGAGAAGCCTCCAGAGGCTCCCAAGAGGTTCCCAAGAGGCCCCAATAGGACTCCCAAGGAGGCCCAGAGACGCCAAATAAAGAGCGATCGGTAACGCAAAAAGCTCTTCACACCAAGGCTCCCAAGAGAGAACGGTGACGTAAACAAGCTTATACGACCAAGGCTCCCAGCAGAGAGCGGTGACGTAACAAGTTCCTGACACCAAGGCTCAGCCAAGGCTCAGGAACGGGCGACTCGGGCCCTCCAGGGGGCACCGCCCATGCCCCTCTCCGGGGGCCCCCGGTCCGATCTTCAGGCAGGCTTGGGACAAGGAAAATGTGCTCCAGAGCGCTTCGGTCCTCCTCCTCCTCGTCCTCGTCCTCGTCCTCCTCCTCCTCCTCCTCCTCCTCCTCCTCCTCCTCCTCTCCCTCCTCCTCCCCTTCCTCCTCCTCCTCCTCCTCCTCCTCCTCCTCCTCCCCCTCCTCCTCCCCCTCCTCCTCCCCCTCCTCCGAGCGGCGAGCGCGTCTGTCTGGGCGCTCGAGCACTTTCATCGGGAGCGGGCGCGACCCCCCAACCCCGGAACCAGCGCACCGCTCAGCGGTGACTGGTCCTGTAGCCGAGGGGGTGCGCCCGCCGGGGCTTATGAATTCCGATGCACGGGACCGCCGCGGAGATCGCGACGACGGCGTGGAGCGCCGCGTCCTGCGGTCCCACCGCGAGGCGCCTCTGGGTCCAGCCTCCAGCGCGCCGCCTCGGCGGAGGAGCCGTCCGCGGCCACGCCCGGCGCGCGCCCGGCCCCGCGGCGTCCGCCTGCCCGGCAGCGCCGCGCCGCCCGCGCCGCCAGCCTCGCCGCCCGCGGCCGCGGCGCGGCGCCGGTCTGCGCCCTCGCCAGCCCCCAGCGGCGGCGCCCCGCGCCCTCCCTCCCCAGCGGCCCAGCGCGGCGCCCGCGCCGCGGGCCAGCGGCCCCCAGCGGCCCCCAGCGGCCCCCAGCGGCCGCCAGCGGCCCAGCGGCCCCCAGCGGCGGCGCCCCGCGCCCTCCCTGTGGCTGGCGCTTGGCGGCGGCGCGCGCGCGCGGCCTTAGCCTGGGGCCGCGCCCAGCTGCGGCGCTCCAGGTCCTCCGGGCGGCGGCGCGGGCGCCCGTTTGCTGCGCCGGCGCGAGCGCGGCGGCGGCCCGCCACGGCCGCGCCTGCGTGGCCGAGAGGACCGCGTCCGCGGCGTGCCGCTGCAGCACGGTCCCCAGGCTCTGGTAGAGCTGCCGGATGGCAGCGGAACGCGCCGCTGCCGCGCGAGGGCGGCCTCCTCCTCCTCCTCCTCCTCCTCCTCCTCCTCCTCCTTCTCCTCCCCCTCCTCGTCATCGTCGTCGTCCTCCTCCTCCTCCTCCTCCTCCGCCTCCTCCTCCTCCTCCTCGATGCTCTCGAAGCGTCCCTGCCTGGGCGGGCGCCAGGTCTCATCCGAAGTTCTCCCCATCCTGGCTTCGCCATAGATCCCAAGTTTTCCCTCCCCCCCCTCCCCCCCTCCCCCCTCCCCCCCCCAACGGGGAGGAATCTGAAGAAGGGCAGGCATTCCCCACGAGTGGCGCCCAGAGGCGCGGCGGGTTCTCGAGGAGGGGAGCGTCCGCAAGGACACGCTGTGGTACGTTGTGGAGCGGGGGGACTGCAAGGTGTCCACCAGGGAGAAGGGCGTCATCAGCACCCTCAGTAGGGGGAAGCACTTCTCGAAGAAGAAACAAAGGGCATGACCATAAACTTTCAACGTTCCCCGCGGATCCCTTGGATCCGCGCTGGGCCCCCCTGGCGGCGCCCACGGCGCCGCCGCTGGCGCTCTCCGCGCGCCAGGGAGGGGGGCCCAGCGCGGATCCAAGGCACCCGCGCGGACTTCCCAAAGTTTATGTATGTGCCGTTTTTCTTCTTCTATTTTCGGGGAGTACTCTGTGCTCTGTGCTCAGAACCTCGGGACAGATGCCGACCAGCAGGTGACCGTGACGGCTGGCGTGACGGGCGCCGTCTGCCTGGCGTTAGACATTAAGGTATTAAAATTTCTCAGTTCAAGAGATCTCAATCGGGACATGACCAGGAGCACAAGTTCTCGCATGGAGTCGGAGAGCTGGATGCCATGGATCTCCTCCAGCACCAGCTATTACCAAAAGCAGGAGGAGAATGAGACGGGACAAAAACAGTGCCATGGGCAGGAGATTCCTTTCGAGCGGCTACGCGCCAAGAAGCTGCTTGGGGAAGGAGGCTTCGGCCGCGTCACTCTGGTAGAGGACACTCTGCTTCAGGGGGAGATGTACGCGCTGAAGAGGATGTCGAAACGCCTCCTGGAGGAGGAGGACATGACGAGGCGGGTCGTCGCAGAGAAGGAGATGATGTGCCTCAACGTCAGCCCCTTCGTGATCACCTTTTTCAGGTCCTTCAAGGACGAGCACTTCGTGTACTTCCTGATGGAGCCTGTACTCGGGGGGCACCTTCTGCAGGCCAAGGACAACATGCCCGAGATCTTCTGCAGGGACTCCCCGCGCGGCTCTGCCACGTGCTTCTACGCCGCCTGCATCACGACCGCACTCGAGCACCTCCACGGGCACCACATCCTGTACCGAGACATGAAGTGCGAGAACGTGCTGATTGATGCGAGAGGCTACGCCAAGGTTTGCGATCTGGGCTTCGCCCGCTTCTGCCTGAACAGGTGCAGCACCTTTCTCGGGACTCCGGCATACATGGCACCAGAAATGATTGACAAACCGCACAAGCACGACTTCATGGTGGACTGGTGGGCCCTTGGTACCGTCGTCTTCGAGCTGCTGACTGGCAAGACACCGTTCGACGACGAGGGCGTCGACGAGGACGACCCGTGGAACCTGGTGAAGGCCATACGGCGAAGCCAGGACAAGCCGCTCAACGAACAGGCGGTGCCCCGGGACATCAATCAGATCGCGAGGAGCTTCTTCAGGGAGCTCAGAGGAGGAAACGGTGTACCGCCATCCCTGCCCCGCTTTCGCTTTTGGGGCCCTGTCGCCACCGCTGGGCTCGCCCCGAGATTCTGGTCATGCCGCACCCCCCGGAGACGGCTGGAGAGTGGCGGCATCGGCATGTTTCGATGCCCCCAAGGAGCTGCTCGTGGTGAGCCCCAGCAGGAGGCTGGGCCACCGGGGCGCCGAGCAGGTCAAGACGCACCCGTGGTTCAGGAGCCTGAAGTTCGACTTCGACGCGCTGCTCGCGCAGCGGCTCAGGCCCCCCTTCTGCCCAGACATCTCCTACGAGGACGACGGCTCCCTGGCAGAGGAGGCCGCGTACCCCGGCTCTGCCGGCGGCCTCGACGGGGCGCCCGACCCCCACGGCCTCCAGAGGAAGCCCACCGGTACGCTGTGCGGTTGGGAGGAGCACTTCTGAGCCGCCCCGTGCTTCTCCAGCAGGGCCCGACGCCGATGCGTCGGGGCCCGTTGGCAGATGTTTGCCCCACCGTCGTTTCGGAAGTGGGGAGCGTTCGTAATCGTCATCGCGACGGCGCGACAGGAAGGTCGCCGTGAATATAATTTTTTAGTAATGGAGGCTTGCTCCGTTCCGCCAGACCCTGATCCATGGGATTAACAGGGATATCTTGAACGGTTCAGACGGGGGGTGGGAGGAGAGGAGGCGAGGAGGTGGAGGCGAGGCGGGGTGAGTCTGCAGCATCAGACCAGCGGCATCAGACGACAACACCATAGTTAAACGCTGCATCAAGGCACCAGACAGAAGCACCTGACTGACGCACCAGGCTGAACAAAAAACACCAGGTCCAAAGGCGAAGGACTGCATCGCCCAGGCTAGAATGCACAAGACTGAACAACGCCAGACTCAGCCAGCCCAGAAGTGCTGCAGATCAGCGATTCAGAGCACCAGACGACAGCGTGCAGCGAGTCAAACAAGTCACTTGGCCCAGACGTTTGGCTGGTTAGCCACCGCAAACTATCAAATTGAAAGCAGCGTGCTCGAAAACCTCGAATCCCAGAGCGGTGTGAGTTAAAACAGTGCGTTGGGTGTGTTTCGGTTGGGTGATTCAGTCTGTCGTTTTTCAGTCTGGCGCTTTGTAGTCTGGTGCTTCAGTCTGGTGCGTTAGTCTGGTGATTCAGTCTGGTGCCGCGCTTACGGTTAAGAGTTAAGACATACTCTCCAGAGGAAGGGACAGCGGAGGCATGGGGGAATGCTTACGAGAGCGGGGAAGCGGAGGGGAAGAGGAGGGAGACTGGGAGGCGGAGGGGGGAGAAGGGGAGAGGAACGTGCCGAGGAGAATTCGTGAATGGGCAAGGAGTGGGGGAGGCAAGAGTCCCAGATGGCCGTTCGTGGCTTGTGTATGGGCAGTGAGCAGACCAGTGATCGTGCCAACGAACCCCTCCGAGAGGGAGTCGTGGCCAGACTCCGCAGGGGGGATTGTCACGATACTTTGCTAATCCGGCGTGTCTCCTGGGCCAGGTTCATGCGGGCCATGAACTCGACGCTCGCATGCCCGAACACCTTCAGGGCCTCTCGGTGGCCTTTCTCGGGAACAGTTTCGGGGCCCCACATCAAAGCTTTTTTCATGCCCTGTTTGTGCTCTCGGGGGAACCTCTTGGCCTCTTGGGACCAGGAACCCTCTTGGGCCTTGCTTGCGTGGATCTCCTTAGGCCCCCCCTCTTGGGATTCTGGCTTCCGCCGACTCCAGCTCCAACTCCTCCCGCCAACACGTCTCCTGAGGGCTCTGGCCCCCCCCGCGCTGCCCTCCGAGGGCCGGTCCCGCCGGACCGACATCGCGCCCCCGCCTCGCCTCGCCTCGCCCCCCGTGGGATTCCAGGCTCTCTGTGGGAGCCCGTGCGAGCCTCTTGGGCTCTGAGCGAACAGCTCCTGGCCCACCGCCTGCGCCGAGCTGTGCCTCCACAGCAGTGGAGGCGGAGCGCAAAGCAGGCGGAGCCATGCCGCTGCGCGGACCGCACAGCGGCCGACAGGCACGTGGCCGTGGCCTCCCGACAGTGCAGGTCGCTCCGCACAGGCCGCTGTCGGGACACCGGCGGCGCTCGGCCTCGCGAGCGTCGGCGCCAGGGCCGCCGACGCGCCGGCGCGAGGCGCGAGGCGCGAGCCTCATAGCCGAGGTCGTCACGAACGAAACGGGTACGGAAAGAACAGGGACAACATGCCCGACAGCAGTTCCTGCTTATGTTGAGCAGGCCCGTCCCTCTACAGGAGGAACATTCAAAAAGGGTCAAAAATAGGATAGGGACTATTTTTCTTATACTTTTTGCGCTTGTATTTTGGGGTATATTTCTAACAGTTTTTTTTTATCTATTCCTCGAACATCGGCCTGTAGAGGGACAGGCCCGACCTAACATTTGAGACAGAAGGCCGCCCGCCCAGCAGCGGCCGCTGTTGGTTTGGGGCCACATTTGCTGTTGGGCATTGTGCCCATGTTATCCGTACCCACTTCGGGCGTCCAAGCGAGGGGCGCGCCGCGCGCGCGCCGCGCAGCGCGCGAGCAGGGCGAGCAGGAGGCACGCGGGCGAGCAGGGGGGGGGGGGGTGCTGAAGTGCCCCGAAGAGGGCCCCGAGATGGCCCAGATAGGCTCCCAAGACGGCTTCCGACGGCGCCCGACGGGCGAGGAAAGCCTTCGGGCGGCCAGAGAGGCCCCCAAAGGAGCTTCCAACGGGCGCGCAGAGCCGCTCCTGCATGGCCGCGGCCGCCGGGCGGCGGGGGCGGGGCCGTTAGGCGGCGTTGCGGCAGCCCTCGCAGCCAAGGGGGAAGACAGGCCTCCAAGATCCACGCGTCCCAGAAGGCCACCTGCTCAAAGGCCCTTCGACCCCGAACACGTCTCGACGCAGGGCTCGCTGGCCGTGCCGGCAGCTCTGGCGGAGGAGCGGGCAGAACAATGATCGAGATGAGAAAAGGAGGGCGACAAGGAGGAGGAGGAGGAGGAGGAGGAGGAGGAGGAGGAGGAGGAGGAGGAGGAGGAGGAGGAGCGAGGGGGAGGAGGAAAAGCACGGCGAGCAGACGCCAACATGCAGGACGAGAGGGGGAGGCACGGGCAGCACCAGGCAAGCGCGCACGGTGGGGGCGGGCGGGGGGCGGGAGGGGCAGAGGGCGTCGGCGGCAGTCGGAGGGTCTTGGGTCGTAGGTGGGCGGGGGGGGGTCGTCGGGATCGTCGCGGGTCTGGGGGCCTGAGGGCCGTCACAGCAGGCTTCGCCCGGCGTCAGGCGGGGCGGGCGGGGTCGTCGGCGGGGGTCGGGGGCGAGGTCGCGGGGGCGGGGGGCGTCGGGGGCAGCAGGGCGGCCGCTCGCGCGGCGTCTGCCGCGCTCGCCGCCGTCACCGCGGCGAGCCGGGCCGCGGGCGCCCCTGTCCAAGGCTTGCAGCCGGCAGAGCACGGCCCGAGCAATCTCGTCGTGCAGGAGTAGCGAGGGTCGCTGGGCGTGTTCCGCCGCCACGAGGGGGGGGTCCTCACCTGTGGCGTCAGCCACGAGCTTCGCCAGGACGGCGAGCGCGCGGCGTGCCTCCTTGCTTCGGGCGCCGCCGTGCGCCTCCATCACGCTGGACGCGCTGCAGCTGCGCGCCGTGTCGAGGAACTGGCGCTTTGCCCTCGTAGCGCTCGGCGGCGGCGGCGCCCGGCGCGGCTGCCGAGGCTGCAGGGAGGTCGCCCCACAGACCAGAGGTGACCGCGAAGTCAATGGCAGGCGGGACGCCATTGCGCCAGCTCGGGATGTATACGTCCGCTGAGCGCCAGCCGCTCTCGTCAAGCTCGGCGCCGTTGGCCTCCGTCCTTGGCGGGCCCTCCTCTGGCTCGCGGGGCTGCACCAAGCCCATCCGCTCGAGCTCGGCGCCAGGGAGACTCGGCTGCCTGCGCGGCGAAGCCGACCTCGTCGCGGAGTGCGTTGTGCCGCTTCACGCGGTCCCCGCGGCAGGGGCACACCAGCGCGTGGTCTTTGTATGCAGCCAGGTTGCTGTCGCGGGCCGGCCATCAGGCATCTTCGCTCGCGATCTGCATTAAGCTGTGCGGGAAGGCCGTGCCGACCTCGGCGCAGGGCCGCGCCTGCAGCCAGCCGCGGGCGCCCTCCGCGCTCACCAGCGCGAAGTGGACCCCGGTGGCGAGGCTGGCGCACTCCCAGAGATCGGCATTGGCGGCTGTGTTCGGGCGAAGAGAACTATGCACATGCACCGATCCTGGCCAGGCCCATCCTTGACCCAGGATCGGTGCATATGCCTTCCTGGCCAAGGTAGGAGGGCGCATGCACCGATCCTGGGCTCAGGATTGGCCTGGCCAGAATCGGTGTATGTGCATAGTTCTTTTTCCTCTATGTGTCCAGTGTGTCAGGGAGGTCCCGCTGGTCGCTGTTCTGGTTGGCGTCGAACTCAATCTTGTCCGCCTGCGGGATCCAGGCGTTGAAGGAAATCGTGGCCGCGCCCAGAGCGCCGTCGGCGCGTGTGTTGTCGTCGGAGTAGCCCGCCCAGGGCTGCCAACAAAACGCAGAGCAGGCCGCGCGGTAGGATGGGTAGGCGGCGGGCGCGTGCCGCCCCGCTGAGCGCAGCCCGAGGCCACTTGCCTTGAGGGCGAGCTGAGCCTGCGCCCAGGAGTCGTCCATGGGGGAGCTGCTACTCAGTTGCTGGAGGTTGTCTAGAGAATACAATAGAGCCTCTTGGGCTCTATTCGATTTCTCAGTTGGATAATTGTGGGTCTTCAGCGGCTTTTGTTGGGTTCTTTTTCGGGAATGTCTGGGAGCCAGGTTTGAACATCCGACGGTAATCTTCAGGCCCGTGAGGTTCACCTGGGGCCGAACATGCGGACAGGCACTCAATGCATTCGTTTGCGGCTGTTTTGGGCCGCGCCGAAAGGACGATGGGAAGGCCTTAGGAAGCCTTCATGGGCCCGCGGTGATAAATCGCGGCTGTTGAAGAAAACGATGTGGCCCTTGTGTTTTGGTCCTTCTGGATGGCCTCTCGGGATCGCAGTAAGACTCGTGGGCCCTTGCTCGGAAATTCTTGCAAAGCGTTCTTGGCGGCGGGGCGCAAACCTGGGGCGCAGAATCGCGCCTCCCCTGCCCGCCCTGGCTTGACCTGGTCGTTGCTGTACCCCCCCCGAGAAAACGGGTGACATCCTCCAACAACCCCGCCATGAAACAAGGCCGAAATCTCACGGCGCCAGCGACGGGGGCACAGCAAACGGGGGCACGAAGGACGCCGATGTCCACGTTTGGTTATGCCCCCGCTTCGGGGGACCTGGGCGCAGCGGGCGGGGGCGCAGTAAGCGGGGGCAGATGGAAAAGGCCGAAGCCCCCGTTTAGCTAAACCTCCGTGTGCAAAGCCCCGAGATCGCAGGGCAGTGGGCGAAGAGCCACGAAACCCTTTCCGCTCGAGCTTCGGGTCGGCGCATGCAGCCCCTTTCAAGTCTCGGAGGG